TAGATGCCCAGAGGACTTTACTGGCAGGAGTTTAGCCCCCTAGGGAATGCAGGCACTTGCAGGGTTAGGCAGTAGCCAAGCCGGGATTTTGAGGCTCTCAGTGGTGCCTAGGTGTTGGATTTAGGAACTTAACGTGCCGAAGACCCTTTGAGGATCTAGCCTTTTACCAACAGCTTGGCACGTGGATTTAAGCTCAGAACAACCACACTGGCTTGGGGATTCCTTCAAATTCTCCCTCCAGGTCTCTGACTCTCCAGCCCTCGGCGGTCTGATCGGGGATCAAACAAATCAAGGCGTGACTCCTGAGCATGGAGAGCTGACAGCACTGTGGCACGAGACGCTGGGGGAAGTGGAGCGGGAGAACGGGGGAGGATAAATTCTTCATGTCTTCTGCGTCAAGGGGGACTGTGACAATGGAGGGGAGAAGGAGAGAATCCCCACTCCCCCGCTAACCCTGTCAGCTTTAAGTAACACGGAGGCCGTGAGAACACATTTTTCTCTCTCTGCTCCAGCTCTCTACTCACTTACGTTTTATAAAAGGAAAAAGGTACCAAAAAATGGCAGCTCTTCAGAACGGCATAGGGCACCCTCAGAATGACTGGGAAGAAGCCCATCTGTCTCTGAAAGGGGAACTCAGGGACTCACGATCACTTGGCTAATAGGGGGGAACCGTACAAATGAGACACTCCGAGTCAGCCGACACTAGGAACAGTGGGGGAGGTTTGGTCGGAGTCGGGGTCGTGCTGGCTAACCCTAACCCCTTCCCAAGTCTAGACAAGCCCTTGGAGGCTGATGCTGCTCGGGCTGCGGTGGGATTCTTAGACTTCTAGGCTTTTCGAGGCTGCCCACGATGGAGCGCTATAGAAATCAGTCCCCTGCAGTGGTGTGTTCTGAATGCAGAGCGGACACATTCAAGGTTTCTCTCCCGCATGGAGTCTCTGATGTCGGATGAGGTGCGAGTTCCTGTTGAAGCTTTTCCCGCACTCTGGGCATTTATAGGGTTTCTCTCCTGTGTGAATTCTCCGATGCACAATGAGGTTCGAGCTCCAATCAAAACTTTCCCCACAGTCGAGGCATTTATGGGGTTTCTCCCCTGTGTGGGTTCGGTGATGTCTATTAAGGGCCGACCTGTCACGTAACCTTTCCCCACAGTCGAGGCATTCATAGGATTTCTCACTCGTGTGGCTTCTCTGATGTGAAATAAGATCTGAGAGCTGACTGAAGCTTTCCCCACAGCTGGGGCATTTATAAGATTCCTCCCCCGTGTGCAGTCTCTGGTGTCTAAACAGGTGAGCGCTCCGATTAAAACTTTTCCCGCAGTCCTGGCATTTGTAGGGTTTTTCTCCTGTGTGGTTTCTCTGGTGGGAAAGAAGATCTGAGCTGTGATTGAAGCTTTTCCCACACTGGGGGCATTTATAGGGTCTATCTCCTGTGTGGATTCTCTGATGGGAAAGAAGATCTGAGCTGTGAATGAAACATTTCCCACACTCCGGGCACTTATAAGGTCTCTCTCCTGTGTGAATTCTCTGATGCGCAATAAGCCGTGAGCGCCAATCGAAACTTTTCCCACACTCCAGGCATTTGAAGGGCGTCTGTCCGGTGTGGATTCTCTGATGTGAGGTAAGACCTGAACTCCGATGGAAGCTTTTCCCACACTCGGTGCATTTATACAATTTCTCTCCCATGTGCAGTCTCTCGTGTCTAATGAGGTGTGAATTCTGATTGAAACTTTTCCCACATTGGAGGCATTTATAGGGCTTCTCTCCTGTGTGCACTCTCTGATGCCTGATCAGCTGTGTGCTTTGAATGAAACTTTTCCCACACTCCAAGCACGTATAGGGTCTCTCTCCTGTGTGAATTCGCTGATGAGAAATAAAGTTGGAGCGCCGGCTGAAACTTTTCCCACAGGCAGTGCAACTGTTTTTTCTCTGTCCCAGGTGGATTCTCTGCTGGGCTGCGGTTTCCTTAAGATCCTTGAATCCTCCCCCACAAAAAATGGATCTGTCTGCTTTCCTCCCTGGCTGGATTCCCAGCTGCCTTTCTGACATGCACTGACTCTCCCAGGTTTTTTCCTGCTCACTCTTCTGGGAAATGTTCCCTTTGGATCTCTCTGAGAACATCTCATGCAGTTCCACCTGCTCAGGACCTTCCAGCTGTGGATTCTCCTCATTCTGACTCACCGTCTCATCACCTGCTGAGACAGAGAGAATCGAGACAGGAGTCATTCCCAATGGCGGAGTGAAAGGAAACACAGGGGAACAGCGGAGAGAGGAAACATGACACAATAACTGTCGGAGACATTGAAAAATACAATTCTGCTTTCACATCCCATCCAAACATGCAGGGAGAAATAAAGAACATAAAAACATAAGAACGGCCATACTGGATCAGACCAAAGGTCCATCTAGCCCAGTGTCCTGTCTTGTCTTCCGACAGTGGCCAATGCCAGGTGCCCCAGAGGGAATGAACAGAACAGGGAATCATCAAGCGATCCATCCCCTGTCGCCCATTCCCAGCTTCTGACAAACAGAGACTAGGGACACCATCCCTGCTCATCCTGGCTAATAGCCATTGATGGACCTATCCTCCATGTATTTATCTAGTTCTTTTTTGAACCCTGTCATTGTCTTGGCCTTCACAACATCCCCTGGCAGAGAGTTTCACAGATTGACTGTGCATTGTTGAAGAAAAACTTCCTTTTGTTTGTTTTCAACCTGCTGCCTATTAATTTCATTGGGTGACCCTTAGTTCTTGTGTTATGAGAAGGAGAATATAACATTTCCTTATTTCCTTTCTCCACACCGGTCATGATTTTATAGACCTCTATCACATCCCCCCTTAGTCGTCTCGTTTCCAAGCTGAAAAGTCCCAGTCTTATTAATCGCTGCTCATAGGGAAGCTGTTCCATACCCCTGATCATTTTTGTTGCCCTTTTCTGAACCTTTTCCAATTCCAATATATCTTTTTTGAGCTGGGGCAACCACATCTGCACACAGTATGAAAGCCAGGCAGGGAGCTCTGCCGGCTGTCAGTCAGGATGGGTGGCAAGTCTTGAGAATCGCCCAACATGAGACGCCTGCTACTCCCACCTTGCCCTGGGTGAGATGAGACAGAACTGAGGGATTCGCTCACAGCTCAGTCTCGGGAGTCTCGGCTTTTATCCTTCGCTCACTAGACGGTTTCCATGTCAGTTTCACTGATAACTCACCTGCACGGGCACCTCTGTGGATCTCCCTTTCCGCAGAGCTGTTGAGATCGGGCACCCACGGCTCTTCCCCTCGTTCCAGCCGGGCGATCAGCTCAGGTTTGGGAAGGGGAAATCCTGCTGGGGCGGGGGTGAAATCAGGCGAGATCAGGGTGTATCAGGCATTGGGAGAGAATTTGTTACAAAGAACATTCCCTGATCTTAACCTGGCCCCGCGCTATGCTGCGTGGATGTGGAACGTGAAGGGATCGGAACATGGTGACCGAGCCCCCTTGGGACAGGCAGACCAGGACGTGTTGCGCCCTCAGTTGGGAGTTTTCAGGAGCTGTGCACTCTGTGGGACCTGCTGACTCAGATCTAAATCCCCTGCCTGTTTCTAAAGCTTCCCCACGGAGGGAGCTAGCCCCAGGAATGGAGTGGAACGGGGACTGTGTGTAAGAGACTTAATACAGATGGGTAAATACAAGACTTTGCCCCTTTGCAAGGGGATGAATTAGCATCTCCATTGGGCTACTGAGCCCCCCCATTCTATGGAAGAAGATCCGGAGATGAATTTCTACCTAGCGCCGTATCTGGGGAATCCGGGATCCAATCCTCTGAAATCATAGCATCATAGGACTGGACGGGACCTCGAGAGGTCATCTAGTCCAGTCCCCTGCACTCATGGCAGGACTAAGTATAGACCATCCCTGACAGATGTTTGTCTAACTTGCTCTTAAAAATCTCCAATAATGGAGATTCCACAACCTCCCTAAGCGATTTATTCCAGTGCCTAACCACGCTGACAGTTAGGAAGTTTTTCCTAATGTCCAACCTAAACCTCCCTTGCTGCAATTTAAGCCCGTTGCTTCTTGTCCTATCCTCAGAGGTTAAGGAGAACAATGTTTCTCCCTCCTCTTTGTAACAACCTTCTATGTACCTGAAAACTGGTATCATGTCTCCTCTCAGTCTTCTCTTCTCCAGACTAAACAAACCCAATTTTTTCTGTCTTCCCTCATAGGTCATGTTCTCTAGACCTTTCATCATTTTTCTTGCTCTAAATCTAAGCGACCAGCGAAGAGCGTGAGCAAAAGCCAAAAAAGCATCTCAGAGTTCCTACGGGTTTTCATAACCAAGGGGACGGGACTCCCTTACCCAGAGAGATCAAAGCCTCGTAATTCTCCTGCATGACGTCCCTGTAGAGGGCTCTCTGAGCGGGGTCCAGCAGAGCCCCCTGCCCCTGGGTGAAATACACAGCCACCTCCTCGAAGGTCACCGGCCCCTGAAACAAGAGAGCCCAGTCAGGGTCTGCTGCCCCAGCCACAACCCCACTATTCCTGGGCGAGGATGGCCAATAAAATGGAAGCTCCTGGGCGGGGAGAGAGTAGCAGAATCCCACCCCCACCCTAGACTGAACAAGTCCGAGAAGCGGGTTTGTCCCGCCCTCTCCCCATCCCTCCTGTGTATTTCCTGCCCCCCCCCCCAGTACAAACCCATCTGGAACTCCCTGAAAATCCCCTACCTGGGTTTGCTCTGCTGTAGTCATGGTCCTTTCTTGTCACCTGGGAGGACGGGACAATTGTGATGGCCACGGGGTCGTTATTCCACCACCTGCCAGGGTGAGAAGGGCAATTGGGGATAGTTCAGAAAAGGCTTCAGTGCATTTCACACCCCAGTTCCCTCCCGGGTCTTTGCCTGCAAACGGACGTTCTAGGTTCTGGGCAAACACTGGGTCACTTTATTTCATCGCGGAGCCGGCGCCGACCACCAGGACGAAACCCACGGAGATCGTTTTAAACCCTCCCAGTAGCAGAGTCTCTGAACCACACGCTAGGAAGGAGCAGACTCAAAGCAGCCCTGACATTGTCCCCACGGGCAGCGCTTCACCCCAGCACCCCAGGGACCCAGCAGGGGCAGGACCTGGCTTCTCCTCTCTCAGCTCCTCACCTGGTTCCCAGGGAAGTCAGTCTGCCCAGGGATGATGCAGGGAATGGCTCTTGGGTGGTTACAGGAGCTAGGAACATCTCTCTCCTTTATTTCCCCTGCTGCAGTATCCTACTGCTCATATTTTCCCTCTCTGCCAGCCCTTTTCCCCTACACCCATCAGTCAGAATCCTGCCCCACTTCCCCTGCACCCCCTCCTTCTGCATCCCCGCTTCCCCACCCCCTCACTCCCCTTCTAATGCACCCCGCACATCCCTATCCATCCCCCTCCATACCGTCTGGCTCCCCCATCCCCCTGAAATACTCCAGCCTCCTTCTGGTTCCCCACCTCTCCCCCATTATTTCACCGTCTCGTGCCAAACACAGAACAGCCTGGCTTTAGCCTCATTGAAAAGAATGGGATTTGACAGCCATCCGTGCAGAACGTAGGGAATCTCAGACAGTCTTGGCTGGGAGCAGCCTGTTGCTTCAGTCCCATTGGCAGTGGTGGGAAAGACTCACTTATTCCCTCCAACAAACAGAAGTTTCAAAGGGGGGAGTGACTCAAAATCTGGGTATTTAGGGAAACAAATACGAACGGCCATAACAGATCAGACCAAAGGTGCATCTAGCCCAATGTCCTGTCTTCCGACAGCAACCAATGCCAGGTGCCCCAGAGGGAATGAACAGAACAGGGAATCATCGCCCCATCTCAGAAAAGATGTATTGGAATTGGAAAAGGTTCAGAAAAGGACAACAAAAATGATTAGGGGTGTGGAACAGCTTCCGTATGAGGAGAGATTAATAAGACTGAGAATTTTTAAGCTGGAAAACAGACGACTAAGGGGGGATATGATTGAGGTCTATAAAATCATGACTGGTGTGGAGAAAGTAAATAAGGACGTGTTATTTACTCCTTCTCATAACCCAAGAACTAGGGGTCGCCAAATGAAATTAACAGGCAGCAGGTTTAAAATAAACAAAAGCAGTATTTCTTCATACAACACACAGTCAACCTGTGGAACTCCTTGCCAGAGGATGCTGTGAAGGCCAAGACTATAAGAGAGTTCAAAAAAGAACAAGATAAGTTCATGGAGGATAGGTCCATCAATGGCTATTAGCCAGGATGGGCAGGGATGGTGTCCCTAGTTTCTGTTTGCCAGAAGCTAGAAAAGAGCGACAGGGGATGAATCACTTGATGATTCTCTTTTCTGTTCATTCCCCCTGGGGCACCTGGCATTGGCCACTGTCAGAAGACAGGACACTGGGCTAGATGGACCTTTGGTCTGACCCAGTGGGCCACTCTTGTGTTCTTAGTATTATTCAGGTTGCAAAGTGTAGCACTTCTAGTAATACAGGGTCAGAATCAAGGGTGTCCAGGCACATAATTCTTCCCCATTATGTGTGTGTGCATTAGGATATAATCTCTACAGACAGGATCCCACACGGCACTGTTCATTAACACAGGACCCTGCCTCCTTCAGTCCTTTCAGACTGGATGTATCTGGTGGCGCAAACACCTCCCTGTCAGCACGTTAAAACTGGGGAGATTTACCCCTCTCTATGGAATTCAAGGGGACACCCCCCTGCTTATTTTTTGCTGGGGGTATGGGGAGGGGAAGAGGGCAGATAATATATTGGATTGTAGTTTTTTGAATTAAAAATGGCCACCATCCCACAAGCAGATACCCCCCTCTTCCATTTTTCCTCTATCTCTGTCTGAGCTTTCACTCTTCCCTTCCTGACAATCCATCCCCGGAGAGACTAAGGGGAAACCCCACTGGGGCCTGATCATGTGTCTCTGAACCCATATGCCTATTTCTCCTCCTGAATCCCCCCCTCCAAACAAGATTTGGATCTGGATCTGGGAGGGTGGGTGGAGGGAAAGGAGCGTTGCGGGGAAGATCTGTCTTCCCAATATGGGATGTGCTGGCTAGGCTGGGATCTCTGACGGGAAACAGTCTCACGTGGAGCAGCGGGAATGTAATCCTCTCAATATGCAGTGTAGTCTATATCGCACTTAGCCATCCTTATCCTCAAAGGAAACCCACCCGACACTTTCAAAAGAGGAGCTGGGATGGTGTCCCTAGTCTCTGTTTGCCAGCAGCTGGGAATGGGCGACAGGGGATGGATCTCTTGATGATTCCCTGTTCTGTTCATTCCCTCTGGGGCACCTGCCATTGGCCACTGTCAGAAGACAGGACACTGGGCTAGATGGACCTTGGGTCTGACCCAGTACGGCCATTTTTATGTAGCCTGGGAGCTTAAATTGATTACTCTGCTAGACACTACACATCATGGACGGAACAGAGACACTGGATTTATGACAATCTATAGCCCACTAACCCTTTTTGTCCTATGCCTGCAGAGGTGTTAATGGGCCAGTCTACCCTGAATACAATCTGGGCTAACCATTTATGCTACCCAAGCCCTCCCCCCCCTTGCATTGTGACCCTTCCCCAGCCCTGCAGAAGAGCTCTGTGTGGCTGTGGTAGGGTGACCAGATGTCCCGATTTTATAGGGACAGTCCTGATTTTGGGGTCTTTTTCTTATATAGGTGCCTATTACACCCCGCCCCCACCCAATCCCGATTTTTCACATTTGCTGTCTGGTCACCCTGTGGGAAGCTGGTCTCTTGCTCCAATAAAAGCGATCACCTCCCTCCGCCACCTCAATATAGTCACCTCTGCTGCAGCCAGGATTCGGGTCCCCCCCAGCAGCAGCAGGGGCCAGTCTGGGGTCTCCCGAGGGGCGATGCCGGGAGCCAGGACTTCACACAGCCACACAGGGTTACCGCAGCCAGTGCAATTCACTTCCTGCTGCCAGGAGCCAGCGATCGCCCCTGCCCCAGCTCCCTTCTGGGTCCTAGAGAGAAACCCACCGCGCCGCAGCCGCCGCTTGGCCCCGCTCCATGGGGGAGAGACAACAGGAAAGCCCAAGATCCCTTTGAGAAGGGGGATTTCTATGGGGGTTTGGGGGGGATCCCAGCATAGGCGCTGGAGCTAGGGGTGCTGGGGGGGCACCTCACCCCCTGGCTTGGAGGGGTTTCCATCCTATCCAGGGCTGGCAGGTTGGTTCAATACAAATAAGTGATGGTCACATGAACACCACCCTATACCGGAAACCTACTGACCGCTATACGTATCTACATGCCTCCAGCTTCCATCCAAGACACATCATACGATCCATTGTCTACAGCCAAGCCCTAAGATACAACCGAATTTGCTCCAACCCCTCAGACAGAGACAAACACCTACAAGATCTTTATCAAGCATTCGTAAAACTACAATACCCACCTGGGGAAGTGAGGAAACAGATTGACAGAGCAAGACGGGTACCCAGAAATCACCTACTACAGGACAAGCCCAACAAGGACAATAACAGAACACCACTGGCCATCACATACAGCCTCCAGCTAAAACCTCTCCAGTGCATTATCCACGATCTACAACCTATCCTGGAAAATGATCCCTCACTCTCACAGACCTTGGGAGGCAGGCCAGTCCTCGCTTACAGACAACCCCCCAACCTGAAGCAAATACTCACCAGCAACCACACACCACACCACAGAAACACCAACCCAGGAACCAACTTCACAAGTGGAGAACCAGTGTTGACAGGGCCAATTCAATCAGGGTGGATGTAGTCCACTCCCAATAATAGATGAGGAGGTGTCAATTCCAGGAGAGGAAAAGCTGTTTCTGTGGTGCGGTGTGTAGTTAGTTGCTGGTGAGTATTTGCTTCAGGTTGGGGGGTTGTCTGTAAGCGAGGACTGGCCTGCCTCCCAAGGTCTGTGAGAGTGAGGGATCATTTTCCAGGATAGGTTGTAGATCGTGGATAATGCACTGGAGAGGTTTTAGCTGGGGGCTGTATGTGATGGCCAGTGGGGTGCTATTATTGGCCTTGTTGGGCTGGTCCTCCAGAAGGTGATTTGTGGGAAGCCGCCTTGCTTG